CAGCCTGAACATTAGTGTCGCCTGCCACTGAGTCCTCTATTCCATAGAAGAGCAAATTCTCACGCCTTTGCCGATTTTCAAGGTCTTCTATCTTCCGGAGAACAAAGAACATCGCATCTTGCTCCTCTTTCTGTATTTTCTTTAAGTTATCTATTGCTATTCGTAATTCGTCTAGGTTCGGGACATTTTTTTTCTAACAAAGCCAGGCGTCTTTTCAAGCCAGTTATATCAGCTTTGGTTTGTTTTTTAGTGCTTGCATTTGATCAATCCTTTGCGCCACTTCCTAATGTTTCACTCAATCGAAAAATTATGACGCAGTCACCTTCCATCCGCATGCTTCGCATAGCATCGATTATCAAGGTACGTGGGATCTGCCGAATATTCTTCCAGGTTTAACGTGCGTGCAAACATGGGTGCTTTTGAATTTCACTCACATCGAAGTGCGAACGCAGTGCCGGGGACCAGCACCTGGCTGCTCGACACCTTAGTCTCTGAGCCAAGCTGCATTTCCGCCCACTTTAATACCCATTCAATTGTGTTATAGTTACTACTCCAGAGTTGAATGCTGCAAATACTGTACCCTACGTATTCCTTGGCTTCACTGTCCGCTGGCTTCGTTAAGTCGTGCCTAACAAAGAAACAAGCCCTTGAACCATACCACTTTGTTCTTTCCCCGCATCTTAAGTAATTTTAGAAGAAATTAGAAGAGTATAAAAGAGTTAAACAGGTCCGCTAATTTTATTTATCAAACAATTGTCCCCACCGCAGAGTCACTTAGTTACAAGTGCTTGCGCCGCCTGGCGGCGTGCCCTTATACCCGCCTTTCAGCTCCAAGACTCGCACAGCTTCGGCGGACAGCTCGGAGCCCATTCTTCCTCGGTGCCGCCGTGCGAGGCAAGCACACTCTCCTCACTCCTTCGCTTCTAGCATAGCCGGCGGGCATTTGTTCGGTCAAACCAGCACCTACCGGCTCTCGGCTTCACCCCCAGTACCGGTGCGCCATCAACGGCACGGTCTCGGCCACCGCGGCGTAGGCCGGCCTGAATCGCGTTGGCCTCGGCCGACTGCGCAGCGTCGGCGAAAAGAAAGCGCGCTGGCCTCCACGGTGGCAGCAGTTGTCTCGGAAGTGGAGGCCGACCCACTCCCTTTTTTCTATTTTTTTTACGCTAGTGGAGTGCACTGCGCTGTCACTTTCATCTCGATGCACGCTTCCGCCGTTCTTTTTGCGAGACTCTGTAATACAGTACACTGAATCCCTTTGCTCAAAGGCTTTAGCTTGTATGTGTTTACTTGGTAAAACTCCTTAATTCTGTCTTGTTGGTAGAGTTACAACAAAGAAATCTACAACTCAAGACAGGGTTTAGTGGTGTTTGGTGGTGTGAGGTCGTGAGTTCAATTCAAAACTCCGGATGCCGCACTTAGAAAAGGGGCGGAATACTGACACGCTCACGAATGAACCTTGGAGGCACGCATTAGAAGCCCAAGGCGGTCGACATTAACCGCTGCGTCCTTCACGGCCATGTTGTGGCTTTACGGCGTATACATGAGAAGCTTGTATGTTGGATAAGCTTCGCCATAACGTACTTTATCGCAGCATTTTGAGAGTGAATAAAAGAAGTTGCACACTTTAGTGAATAATTTGATTACGGATGCATTACGAGTGAAAATCACGATGTCATTATGAGGTACGTCGTAGTGGAAGGCTCAGAAAATTTTGACCACCTGGGCCTTTTTATCGTGCACCAAAAGTCACCTATTCAAAGAATCTCTAGAAAAGCGACGTCGTTAAAAAGTGAGCAAGATGACTGTATATTGTGAAGTGTTTTTAACGAACCATCTATTTTGAGACACCACCCAACTAAACAACATTAAACACTATAAAGCTCTCTACTTTATACATGCCTGTATGCGTAAAATAAACATTTAGCCGTAGCTGTGACAACAACTCACTCCCCTAAAAATAATACTAAGACAGCTTCGTATGAAGCAAGTGTGAAGCTGGAACGCTTTTTTTTTTCTGCTCTTCGCTTGCTTCGTTGTCTTTCCGAGTTTATTTATTTCTAGTCCTTCCTTTCTATCTGTTTCTATTTCTCACTTGCATCCTATTTTTTGAAGTTTTATACGTGGTTTCATTTAAACTGTTCACTAGAAAAGACAGTGCTTAAGCAACACAAAAGCACATGAGATAAGAACGGGGACGTGCGCTGACGGGCGACACTTTATGCGTTAACATATATCAGAAGGGCACGATACAAAGACGAGAGGAGAACGAGAGTCAAGGCCGGAATGTGATCATCACACCCATGCGCATAAGACTTTCTTCCCTGGTTCCCTTCCCTTTTCTTTGTCGCGTCCTTCTTATCTATGATAACCAGAAATTCTTTTATACGTAGGGTTTAACGTCCTAAAACTACCATTTATATGAAAAACGCCGTAGTGAAGGGCTTCTGAAATTTAGACCACATAGGGGTCTTTAACGTGCAACAAAATCTGAGCACATGGTGAGGGTGGCGATTTTGGCTTGTTGGTATTGTAGCATAATAATATGTGGTAGCGCAGACAAAGGACGGGGGCAAGAGAAGGCAAGACACATTCAGTGCTGTGTTGTCTTGAATGTGCCTTCTCTTGTCCAGTTTTTTTTGTCTGCGCTTTCATATATTATCAAGAGCTGACGAGCCTACAGCATTTTTGTCTCCATGGAAAATGCCGCCGCCGCAGTCGCGATTTAACCGTGCGACCTGCTGGTCAGCAGCCGACTACCTTAGCCACTAGGTCACCACGGCGCATTTTATGTTAACCTATAATAAACTATTTCTTGGCAATTAGCGCCCATCCTCCTTATTGTGTAATGTGTTTTGTGTTCCCTAAGCGCTGTGTCTTCGATTGAATCCGTACCAACATCTCAAGCGTCTTTTTATTAAAGTGGTTAGCACTAAATATCGCCATCAATTAACTTGAAATACTAGAGAAAGAAGACTTACCTGTGATTCAGGCGCGCACTCCTTATGCTATAATTGGTTATGCTATATGTGGTTTCACCTGCGTCAGTATAAACATCAAGGCACTAATGAGGTGCTTGTTTGCAGTAGTTCGTACTCTACTGTACTGCTAACCAGAAGTGCCAAGAGTTTCTTTAAGAAAAAAAAATTCAGTTGGAAGCTTAGCGCTTGTCTGTCTCATTCTCTAGTCTCTCGTCCCTGAAGTTTGCGCTACTTAGCAGTTTAAAAAGCACTAGTAGAAGAAGAGGAAGAAGACTTGTGTCAACAGGTAATTGCATCTGATAACTCAAGCGAGATTCTTAGTATAGATTACGATGAGATCTTTCCTCCATAATCTAAATTTCATTCTCGGGAATTCTCAGAGGCCAGGTTAGCAGATTTCCTTGAGCATACACAGACACGTAACATAATAGCTACAGATGCTTCCGTCAATGAGGAAAGGGCAGACATAAAAGTAGCCTCCCAATCACTTGGCTGGACATTTACCGTGAGGCTACCCAATTTCACTCAGGTTTTTGAAGCCGAGCTCATGGCAGTCATTATGGCACTGTGATTACTGCCGATGAATGAGAACAGCGCAGTAATATTTACTGATTCACTCGTGGTATGCACAGCTTTTACAACTTCTCATACCTCTCGTGCCGTCACTATGCTACGAGCTTTTGTACCATCTCAGCTTAAGTACCTGAAATTAATATGGGTCCCGGGTCACTGCAGGTTAAATCAAATGGCCGATGCATTAGCCCGATCATCACTAGATCTCCAAATAGTTCAGGTTCTTCCGGTGGTAAAATACTTTACCGCAAACAGTTTTAGAAGATTAGCTATTCACACAGTTAGGATTGCAGCAATAACCACGTGGACAGAAAATGATCACCTAAAAATATCCATGGAAATAACAGTCGAGCAATTCTGTACAGTCCGAAGTGACGATCACCATATTTCGATGTCGTGTCCCCCCATAAAACGTTTACTTGTGCAGGGTTGGTCTTACGACATCACCCCTCACCAATTCTGCGGAGAACTACAAAATATTGCACATTGCTTTTCGTCATGTTCAAGATATTCTCGTATGAGAAATCGACTTCTAGTTAGTCTTTTTTCGAAAATTGCCTTGACTTTATAGGAGGAAAATGTTTTAAGTTTCGGTGCCTTAGGCTGGGGATACTGCCTAAGGAATGCCTTCGATGCCGTGTGTAATTTCAATAAAACTACTTAACAAGTACTATTTTATTCTGGTATTCAAAATGATTGGTTATTTCATTAAGGTAAAGCCTAAGCTTTCTTAACTGTGCCCATCAGGTTATGACGGCTGCCTGGAATACATTACAAAAGCATATTACTTGTAGTTAAATTCAATACTTTACATACTATTGCCATTTCATTTTTTTCTTTTTGGTTTTTATTTTTATATCTAACCTAAAACAATATTTAAGTGTCTCAGCGTTGCATTCTTGGCTAATCCCCGACAGTGGGTACGTGCCATTTATCTAGGAAAACAAACAAACAAATCCTCATCAAAGCACTTCAAAAACAAGGGGATGAAGACACCAATCTGCCGAGAGCGCACTCTAAAATTTTGGGAGTAAACCTCTGCTTCGCGATGTAGAGTAGATTGTGGTAGCGCAATTAGATCGCGAGCACATCACGTTCTCAGATTCTTAGCCTAGCTTAGGTTCTCAGTGTACACCTCAATCTGGCTGGAAGGACACGAACGACTGTGCATGTAGCATTTACCGTTTCAAGCTATCCTAGAGTGTTTCCAATAAGTAAGAAAGGCAGTCTTTCAAATAATAATAAAAACATAGCTTACCGCTCATATCAGAGGAATCGGCATCACATGAAAGTGAAATTGTTCTTACAGAAATAGGTGAATCTTTCTTGCACATTGATATAAGAGAGCTTCCAGAATGTTTTTTCATGTTTGACAGCTATAGAACCATTTAACGTGAATGCTCCTGCGTTGACAGTTATACCTATATCCTTTTATTCTTTTTACAGTCATGAAGCTTCGGCGAAAGTTTGATATAGGGACAGGAGCAGCCGCAAGGGGTGCCCTCGCCCACGGCGGGGCATAGGAGCGGCCACGGCGCTGCATTAGTACGACATACGCTGGAGCTGTGAAATGTTATTAAACGCAGCCATGAAGGTTCAATACGTTTTCAGAGTGATGTTATCTTCAAGGCGATTCGGGAAAGCTGTAATACAGTGAAATTTAGCGTTGAATTAAGCGTTGAAGCTAGTTGAATTAGACGGCATCCTGATTCCACTGTAAGGTAGGATACCGCTATAAAAGCATGCTTATTTTTTTTCTGATGCATCTAGTGAAACATTGTGAACAATCCAGAGTTATTCAAGGACTCTGATGGATCTCAATGAGCGACGGAAGTGCAGTGATTGCAATTCTTGACAGCATATTCTGTCTCTAAGGCTGTGTATAAATTCGGTGTTTGTATAAGAAGATATATATCTTAAAATAGCCTCACACGTACTAAACCAACGGTCATTTTGAATGGGTCAACGCTTTCAAGTTATCAAGTTAGGAGGATCGAGCAATTTTTCACATGACATTTGCCTCGTTTTCGTTCTTTATTTTGCGTTAATATCACTACGGTGCCGTAGCGCGTTCGAAGTTCAGTTGGCCATGCAATGTAGTTTCTCGGTCCTTTACTTTGCTGTGTACCTTACTCATGCTGTGTTTTGCTCGCCCTTCTTTATTGTTTTTATTGTAAAGGCGGAAGCCTTACATACTTCCTCAAATGTGAAAATGGACCGATTACGTCCTGCGCCGGGGGCGCCAACATGTGATGCAAAAAGCTGTCTTCTCGTGCTCGAGACGCATTGATATCGGAAATTAGCAGTTGACGCTTTCACAGCTCGCGCAAGATTTTTACAGCGTTTTCGTGCAATCTCTTCGGCGCTGTCACCCTAGCCAACTTCTGTTGGTAGCGCTGAAGTCCCTGTTGTATGGGGCAAATGTGTGTTTTGATATTTTCAAGCTGTGAGAAGCTGCATGTAGCTCCACCTGTTCGGCATGTAACGTCTACACTTTTGGTCATCTCAGTACCTGTATAAACGAAAACGGTGAGCATGTCTCTCATTCGGGCTTCTTTATATTACCTACTGGAATGAAAGAAAGAAGAGGTGGCTGGTATGCTCACCTTCACTAATTGTGTTATTATCCATTCCGGCGATGTCAAGAGGGCTCATGCGCAGTCCACTGTAGCCTCAACAGTATCCAGCTCGCTCAGTTCGCTGACGTTTCCCGTCGGCACACGTAGGCGGGCGAGTTCTGCATATTTTGCACCATATTAAGACGCCGTGAAGCCATGAAAAATCCTCGGCACAGCGTCGGCAAAAGTTTCGAAACGTGGCTTGGTGACTGTTGTATTCTGCTGTTTTGGTTTCAGTGTTTAAATTGGCAACACTGTGTCCTTGTGCTTGTATATATTTGTGGAAAGTGTAATAAAACGGCAGTATGTAGGCAACCGCAACCCGAGGTGTGTCGGTCACATTACTCCTTCACTACAATGGCAGGGAGTGTTTGAACCCCGTCTGATACGCCACCAGTAGGTTGTCACCGGCATTGCCCAACCGTATCCATTTCTTCCGAACCCGGGTCGCCCCGTGCAGCCATGATCTCGATGACACGACATGTTCAAGGTCTACCTGCTGGCTTCCGGTGCTTCATAGTTCTTCCCAGAGCGACGCAAGGTTATTTTACTACATTCCTTGGGACCCGAAGGTTAACGTATTTTCAATACTCTGTTTCGTAGGCGGCCCAAAAGACAGAGGAGAAAGAAGGGACCGGAGCTACGCCCGACGTGTACGACTTCATGGTGGCGGCACTGGCTAAGCACTTCAATACCACCTGCAATCTGGTCGTCGAGTGCCACCGATTCCACCGTAGAACTCAGTTCCCAGGCGATTCTACTCAATAATAAACAAGCTTACCGCGATGTGCTTATTCACGTCGCAAGAAGAGTCATTACGTGACCAGTTTGTTGGCGGTGCGTCCTCGCATCGTATTCCGGAACGTCTTCTGTTAGAGGGGTCTTCGCTTTCGTTCAGCATGGCAGTTGCTCCCGCGAGTCAAATCGTGCAGACAGCAGTCGAAATGAAGAAATTTACTATTTCTGTGCAACCAGTATCAGCGCAGTCGGACTCAAAAGACAGCTCATCTTCACAGTCATCGAATTGACGCCCGCGTGCTCGCACTTTCAGCCAATGCGATAAGGCACCTACATCTGGGTACCAACCCCCGTTTAAACAGCGCTGTCGATCAAATTCGCGGCAACACGTGAATTCTACGCATTGCTTCAGACGTGGTTCTAAGCAGCATAGCGCTTCTCGGAACGCTGCCCAGCTAAAGAAAAAAAAATGCTTCTTTTGTGACCATATCGGACATTTCGATAATGTTTGCAACCAGAAGCGATTACAGGCACCTGTCCACAAGGTTTCAGTAGAGAGCCCGTTGCGGGATGAAACCGCAGAGTTTCTTGTGGTTAACAACCTTTTAAATATAGAATTCACATTATCGTTCAAGTCGGGCAGGTCGCTATGAAGCTGTTAGTCGATTCTGGCTCTTCCGTTCCATTCTTTCAGGTAAGTTGTTTGACCAACATTTATCTGGTCTGCCACTTCTTCCCATTCCTCGTGTAACGCTTCTAGATTATTCAAAAACACCAATTTCGTTTCAAGGCTGCTTTTTTTTCTGAGGTCTCTTTCTACAATCGCAGCGCACCGCGTTTGTTTTATGTCATCGTTGGCCTGGATGGTATTAAGGCTTTGACGCTGTGCATTGAAGGGTCGGAGCTCCAGTGTTTTCAAACCAGCACGGTTACTAACGCCGAGGTATGTCCGTCAGATTAAACATGTCCGTAAGATTAATCCGAACAGCTGCCATCAGCACTTCTGCAACGGTTTTGCTCTCTGTGTATAATTGGGCTCGGTCTGGCAAAAGGTTTTGTTCACGAGATTAGGACACGTGCGGGTGTTCAGCCACTAGAATCAAAACTTCGCCGGCTTCCTTGAACATTACGACCACGTGTGTCTTCCAAACTGCAGCGTTTGGAAAGCTTTCTACATTATTGAACGTATCGATGGGTCAGAATGGGTTTCAACTATGTAGTCATTCGGAAGAAATGTGGACGTAGTAGGCTTTGCGTATATTTACGTGAGCCTAACAAGGCTATGGTTCAAGACAGCTTTCCACTGCCTCACATGGATGAGTTGCTTCATGCCATGGCGGGTGCCACACACTTTTCGAAACTTGACTTTGCGTCTGCCTACCACCAAGTTCTCTTAGATTTTGAGAGTAGGGACTTGACAGCTTTTATTCCACATGAAGGGCTCTACCGCTTCAAGTGCGTTTGTTTTGGGCTAGCCTCCACACCTGCTGCTTTCTAGACTATGATGTCTTCAGTCCTTCGCGATTGTGTGGTTGCCCTCTTTTACATCGACGATGTCATTATTTTTGGCAAATCGGCTGAGGAGCACCCAATGAACTTAATTGATTGAAATGTGGGGCTTAACGTCCCAAAATCACCATTTCATTATGAGAGACGCCGCAGTGGAGGGCTCCGGAAATTTCGACCACCTGGGGTTCTTTAACGTGCACCCAAATCTGACCCAAAGAACTTGGAGGTAATGTGACAGCATATCAAGGACGCAGGTCTTAAGCTCAACAGTAAATTCCCTTTTTGAGTGCATAAGCTCAAATTGCTGGGTCACAAGGTGAGACCTTGCGACATTTTGCCACTGTCTGGAAAAGTAGACGCACTTGTGGAAACCGCAGTCCCAAGAAAAGTCGCTGAACTCCGTTCCTTCCTTGGGTTGGTGGAATACCACGCAGTTTGTGCCACACTTGGCTGAGATGGGAGAACCAATGAGGGCTCTTAGAAAAGGCGAAATTTTCACCTGGTCTGTTGATGTGGATAACAGTTTCCACATGGTAAAGGCTGTATTATTGTCAGATATTGCCTTGCACATTTTTGATCCTGCGCCTACAATTATTATTTCGACTTACGCATCCAAATGTTGTCTAGGAGCAGTCCTCCAGCAGCACGCCGATGGTAATCTTCGTTTTATTGTTTTAGCATCTCATAGGCTATCTCCGGCTGAACGAAAGTACGCAGTTGGCGAGAAGGAAGCACTTGCATGCATTTTAGCATGTGATCATTGGCATACATACCTATTGGGATGGAGCTTCACAATCCATCAGAACATCAGGTCATCGTTTCGCTTTTGTCTTTGCAAGGCTCAGGCCAACGCCCACTTAGAATTGCACGTTGATGCGCAAGGCTACTACGGTACAATTTCACGGTGGAGTGCCAGAAAGGCTTGTCTAACAGAGTATATGATGCTCTGTCATGGTTACCTGTTTACAAGGCAGATAGCTGAATTAAAAAAAATTATTTTCATGGTTCAGCTAACATGCCTGACAAAATAGCCACTTGAACAAGCGATTCTGGCTGATGCCACTCCTCAAAAGGTGAAGGCGTTTCTAAATGGGTCTTGGCCATCACCCAGAGACTTGTCGCAAGATCTGCAACCAAACTTCAGAGTTCGAGAGGCATTGTCACTAGAGAGCTAATTGTTGATCGTGCGGAGAGGCTTGTAATTCCTTCATCTCTCGTGGCTGAACTTGTGGCAACAGCGCACGAAACCCACCAGGGTATTGCACGCACCAAGGCCAGGCTTAGGGAACAATTTTGGTGGCCGCAAACGGACATTCAAGTTGAAGAAGCAGTCCACAATTGCAGCATCTGTGAACCAGCAGATAAGTCGGCAAAGATGTCGCCTGCTCCACTGCAACCTGTTGAGTTACCAGAGACCATGACAGAAACTTGCAATTGGTATCGTTGGTCCCCTTGACCCTAAAGAGGGTGCCTCCAGAATGCAGCTTTGTCCTGACACTGCTGGACTACTCAAAATGGCCAGAAGTACAGCAAAATTTTTACAATCACCGTGACCGAATTCCTACTTTACGCATTTGCACGGGAAGGATATCCTGAAGATGTAGTTTGTGATAATTGGCCTCAGTTTGCGTCAAAGAAATTTGTCAAGTTCCTAAAAGAACGAGTGAACGGTCTGTCACTTTCATCTGTTTATTGCCCGCAGAGAAACG